GATTGATTTGCCTCTTAGACTTTAAATTCTTATGAATTTCAGTGGTTTTCCAGCTTTTGCCTGATAGTCTCCCTCCAACATCCACATGGATGCATAGTATGCTTTCCTTTTTCTACCCCTTAATCTATTTCTCTATCTTAACTCCTCCTCCAGATCTCCATCTAAAACCCTGCCCATGCTTCATGGGCCAGCCCATAATGTGTTAGCAAGTATGCGTGGAGTCTGGGCTAGAGAGTAAGTTTTTCAAAGTTCAGTGCTGCTAAAAAACAGAAAAGTAGGCTGGCGCGAGACACATTCATTCCTGAGAAGCCAGATGCTGGACATATCTTATCTGTAAAGGCAGAAAGTTGGATTATGCGTTCTGAGTTGCCTTCTAGCTGAAGGCAACTACTAATTTAATAGGACAATATTTAAACTAACCTTTAACCTTGTGATGGTGCAAAGAGATGTTTTGAAAACTGATTTAGCTATGAAAGCCAAGATTTCAGAACACAAAGAAGTACAAAAGACAGGACAGACACTCTTATGATAAGTTTTAGGCAAGTTATGTTTAAGGATTAGAAATTGTCTGCAATATCTTATGTCAGGTTCACTGATAGAAAGATGTAACAGTAAAATACCCTGTTCAGAATCCACATATGCATAGATATTTTGCACTGTTTTAGACCCGAATATGTCCATAGGTGTGCACTAGCTAATTAGGTGTATAGGAAACTAGGAGACAGGTAGACATGTGAATGGATGTAATTAAATGTAGTATTTTTATGGGGTCATGTTGTGATTTTTAATTAATTTTATTGGAACATTTTATGTATACAATATAATGACATTCATTGGAAATTTGTGCCTTTGCATAATCAATGTTGGTTCTTCTTATTGCATATTCTTGGTGTTGTTGGGGACTACATTGGAGTTTTCTTACTTAAATTTTGAAAGCAGTTTAACCACTTACCAGTCCAATTACTTAAATTCAAAAGTTGCATGCGTTTTTGTTAATTTTTATAAGATAATTTAACAGGAAGTGTAATATTTTTGTTAAACTTATTCAATACAAGCATCGACTGGTTGAGATGACAGCTGCCCTAGCGACCCTCGGGATAGTGCCTAAACAAACATGCTGCCAGAGTGGCACTCGGGTAAATTATTATGCATCTGAGGATATGTAACGAGATACTTCTTTTCCTTCTCCTTTCAGGTAAAAGTTTTGTTTGTTTTTTTTTTTTTCCAACCAAGTACTGGTTTACTTAATTTGAGGCTATTGATAAAACTCTTTAAATTGCCCCAAGTGAATCTTAGAAGCCTAGCAAATCTTTAAAATCTGATTAAATACTGAAAAAGACAAGAAAACTATGTGTGTGACTGAAACTGCTGTCCTTTCAATTTGACACTGCTTTGCAAACTGCGGACTTTCAAGAGTAAGTGTGTGTGTCTTCCTTTCACCGTCCAGGAAGCCCACTACGAAGTCCCATCGGAGTTCTTAGGTTCTTTACTTTTTCCAGCAAGTGGGGAAAGAACTATGGAGAAGGTCATTTTATAGATCAGCTACTATTATGAGATTGTTGCAAAGATAATTCTAAAGCATTTTTTAAATGAAATTGTTTTGAAATAAATAAGACACACATGTGGAAAGACTGCATAGTTTCTCTGGTGTGAAAAACTAAAAGTGCAAATGAAATCAAATTGTTTGTAGGCATTCCTGTATTTATCTCCTTACTGTGTCAAGGCAGAGTAGCCTAATGTAAGACAAAATACGAATCTGACTCTGTAAACTTGGGTGCAGGTTTTTTTTTTTTTTAATCTTCGAGCCTTTAGCTCCTACTTCTTTTGAACACAAATTCTATGTGATATCCTTTACCTATGAGAGGTAGCTGCTGGTGAAAGAAATCTAGCTATGTGCTAGAGAGTTAAAATTGTCTTGATAAAGTTCCAAACTTATTTTAATGAGTTCTCTCTTCCTGAAACATTTCATTTGGATACCAAAATGTTACATATGGTGTGCTTATATATTTATAATACACTTTTCCCATTCTCTGATTTTACTGAAAACTACTAGCATTAAAGTATTAATTTTAAGAAATGTTAAATCTAATTTTTGCTCTTTGCCATGTCCTTTTTATGAATTGGTGTAATTTTTCTGTCCCTCTATGTCCTTAGGCCATAGGTCTTCTTCACCCAAGGCACTGTCATAGAGTGATAAGGACTCTCTGTGAGGAATGTGGTCTATGTGCTCAGGGCCTGCTTATCTGGGTCCCTCCCAGCCAAATGGGATCTCTGGCAGTGCCCTCTGCCCACATAACCCTCCACACTATTGACAGTGACTTCCCCACCTGAACATTTGGTCCAAACCCTTTATTGGCTTTCTGTTGCACTCGGGATAAAGTCCACCGAGTTCTACAGTTTGGCCCATGACACATGGTCCTGCAGTATCCTGTTAGCCTTTCCCTCTGCTGCTTGTCATCGTCTCTGTTCTTTTCTACACATTCTGCTGCAGCCACAAGGATGAACAAGTTCCTCTAGCCTAAAGGTCCATAGTGTCAGACTGGTGAAATCCCACATCCTTTTCAATAAAAATTCATAGAATTCCAATATGACATCTTTCCACCAACTCCTCCATCAAGAAGAATTGACCACTATGTTCCTTGTGCCCCTTCTTATTCTCACACCCTAAAATACTTCCTCAGCCTTTGACGAAGTACTTGCCTTCTCTACAGAGCTGGAATTTTCTTCAAAGACCATGAATTACTTTCACTGGACTCCTAGTTTATTGCCTATATTGGTCATGCAAAAGAATCAAAAACATTTTTAAATGGTTGAACAAATAAATAAGCATGGAAAATGAACAGTAACCAACAAGGGCTAAGAAACCTATCTGGTTTCTAAAGAGTTAATACTAAGATTTTAATTGGGCCTTTTTCCCTATGGCAGTTAATGTAACTTGTAGTCTGACTCCAAGTGGGGGAGGCCAGGGAAGAACTTTCAAAAGTTTCATGTGCAGATGGCATGAGCATGAAACCTACACAGGTGCTGGAAGTTGTCTAAATGACTTTGCTTCTCTAAGCAGTGTGTTGCCTTCAGTGTTAGAAATTCCCACCTGAGAACCGAAAAGAACATAGTGAGGTAAAGACAGGGAGGAATGTTCCAGGTGAAGGGAAACACAAGAACAATGTATTGAAAGTGAAAAAGGTATGGTATCTTTGATGCCCCAGAGAAGAGGGCAGAGTGTCAAGCAATGGACTCATCAGGCATGGCCTTCTAGGTGCTCACACCAAACAGTGGGTCACCATCCTTAGATGGACTGCACCTCCCTAGTGGGAGATCCCATGGGAATCCAACTCAGGCTGTTCCTAAAGTCCTGCTGAACAGGAAACCTGCAGGAGGAGATGTGTTGGCAGTCATAGTCAAACTCTAGATGGCCTCACTTAAGCTTTCAATGTTTTAATACTTATTTAACACTTGTTAAACACTGAAACATTTTCTGTTTTCTGCAATTGTTTTCACCTTTGCATTTTTTTCTTCTATTGGAAAAGTGAGTTGAAAATATTTTGTTGGTCCTTCTATATGCTACTTTGACACTTGGCTGAATTCATCCTGTTCACTTTCAGATGCAGTCTGGAAACTCACTTCATTCTTTGTAAGAAGCTGACCAAATTACTCATGACTGTTTTTGCTGGATACCTTTCTTTTTCAGAGATCTGTACTAGTGCTGGGGATGTTCCAAACAATAGAAGTTTCCTGTCATAAGCCTACTTGGTGTCCACAAAGTGTTATAGATGTGTGTCCTAAGTGTAAATGTATTACCTGAAATGAAATATATTAAACAGGAGGATTTGAGGGAGAAACCACATAAGCGGGGAAGTTGAGAAAAGGAACCACTGGAAAGAGTGAGCACTTCAAATGCCTTCTTCAGTTTTATTTCCAAGTAGCTAAGCCATAGGCTGATCTCAAGTTTTTGTTAAATGTGTACTCAGTGCCTCTGGCCTTTGACACTTCCTGATTATTAGCTAGTTTTATAACATTGTCATAGATAAACATAATTACATTCTTTTATATTCCTGATTATATTCCTTTAAGGACCACGATGGAAGGCCCACATTCCATTCTGTAGGAGTAAGCCAAAGCTTATATCCAGCATTTACTAAAACGTAGATTGTTTTTCTTCATTATCCCTTTTTATAATTTTTATACATTTTTCAAATTGTTTTAAGGATAATATTTCTTTCCATAATTTTAATCTTAAAATTTGCTGAACCTCACAGTCCCTATCATTAGGTTAGTGTTTGAAAGTATTTCTTTTTCTATCATGTGAAAGGCCATTATAACAGGTAATGAAGAATAATTAAGAAACAGTATTTTTGCATTCTCTTTAATTTGTGCAGTAAATATAAATACACATACATATATATTATATCCACAGTTTTCACAGATGATAAATTAGCAAAGCTTATCATTCTCCATGAGGAAAGATGTAATAGGGTACTGGAAGAAACACATATGGACTTCCACAAGTAACCATTAGTATTTTAAAAATGTAGAAATGTTCCAAGTCAAGGAAGCAGAAGAATTTTAAAACGGGATTTATAGTAGAAGATAAGACACTGTGAGAGTTTTGAGTCAATTACTTGTGACCATGATTAGCTGGCAGCTGAGGGTAAAGGCAGCTTGGGTGCTCCGACCATGGGTATTCAGACCAGAGATATCAAAGAAGACGTGCTCAGTTTTCTGTGGATTCTCCATGAATCTGTGCTTCCAGCTGAGGAGCCCAGGTGACCCTGTCTCTGGGTTGGGTCTGACAAAGCTCTCTCCTCCGTTTTGAGGTGTGTATTTCCATAACACAACTGAAGAAACCAAGTCTTGCTTACCTTATCTGCAGGTCCTTGCTGTGTAGAATTCCGGAACTGCTACTAGGAGTGCTGGGGGATAAAATTGTCTTTTGTGATATATTTCACGGTCAACTCAGTCACCTCATTCTTGGTCCTTTTCTCAACTTCTGTTTTATATAGGTCCCAATCATACAATGAAAGCTGGAGAAATTGCTGTGAGTGTAAGCCCTTATATACTTCCAAAGACACCAGGTGTGTTTTTCTTTGTACACGGTTAATCTGGATGTAGAATTATTGAAATGCAACTCTAATGGTACCTGACTAGTCACCATAAAAAATCTGTCACAAGCACTGAGGTAGATGTGGCACCACTGCTAAGGAACTCTTACTTCTCACGGAAATAGGACCGTGGGTTAAAGAAATAAAAACTAAAATGGCCAGGAAAGATGAATACAGCTAGGAAGTACTGGGCCAGAGAAAGATCCAAGGGTGCCATGGTGGGAGGGCCGATGGCCAAACAGAGCTGGCTCAGACCTGGGCTAGGCCTGTGCTGCCTGCAGACCCTGGGTTAATTGCCTTATGGGGCATCTATCCCTTCCTTTTAAAAGGAAGCCAATAACCCCTGTCCCATAGCGTTTTGCTAAACATTAGGAAAGCTGTACATAAAAAGGCCAAATGTGACACATCCTGAGTGCCTGAGAACTGATAGCTGGGTGCTGAGATAAAGGTAGGCAGGAGGCCTTCTCAATAATTTTATTTTGAGAAGAAGATGACTTTAAAAGGCCTGGTTGAAGCCTGGGCTACATAGAGAGTTCCAGGTCAGTCTCAACTACATAGATCCTGTCTCAAAACAACAACAACAAACAAACAAATAAAACAAAAAATAAATAAATACATAAATAATAAAATAAAATAAAAAATAAAAGGCCTTGTTGAAGCCTGGGCTACATAGTGAGTTCCAGGTCAGTCTCAACTACATAGGGAGACCCTGTCTCAACCTCCCCAAAACAAAAACAAACAAACAAAAAAGAGTAAACAAATACATAAACAATAGAATAAAATAAAAAATAAAAGGCCTGGTTGAGAGAGTCTTTTGTAGCAGGGGCTTAGGGAAGATACTCCAGGTGTGAAATGAAGCCTGAGAGGAGACTTGCAGAGTGGCCTTGGGACCACTAGAAGCTAGAAAAATCATTGAGAAAATATCCCAAGATAAATGGCAGCAATAGATTTTAAGAATAGAAACCAAGGGAATTAGGCTAAGAGCTTAGAATTAATTACTAGGTCTGGGTCTAATTAAAAAAAATCTCACTTTCAGGTGATTTCAACATGAAGCCAACATGTTAGGGTCAAACTGGAAAGCATTTAAGGGGCCAATGACAGACATACAGGCCATGTATCATGCAAATAATGGCCAGTGTTTCCATGCATAATTAATTTATTCTCATAGGAACCTAAGATAGGCATTGTAATATTCATTTTTCCCAAGAGAGTACTGAAGCACAGATAAATTACCTAGTAAGAGTCATGGCTGAGCCCCCTTCTCTTTTCTCCCAAAGCCCTTATACTCCGGTCCAATAAAGAGAAGACAAGCTACAGTGACCCTGTATACATAATTCTTGAAGAATGACCAAATATAAGAGCCCTTGACCACGTAACACTGCAGCACAATGGATTTTTTTGTAATAAGTGAACTCAAGAAATTTCTGTGGCTGTGGTAGGAAGAGAGTTCAATGATGTAAAAGAGAACAGGGAGACAACATTAAAAGAAATCTAAGATGTAGATTGGTTGGAATCTTAAGGCAAATAAATCTATTAGAAACTTGTACAGACAAGGAATCCAGGAGAGCCATTATCAGAAATTCAAATGACACATGATATGAGTTTGGAATCAGACAGTAGACAACTGCAAAATTGATAGCCACATGAGTTTTGATAGGCTTGGACTAGCATCTTTGTGGAGTGTTGGTTTGGTGTGTCTCCTTTCCTCTTATCAGTTTACATTTAAATTAAAAGCCCACTACCTCTTACGAAAAGCTATAGATGGATCATCAATGTTTTCTCCTCACTACCCTTTAGCAAAGGGGACAATTTGCTGTTTCTCACTTTTGAATACCTTTTGGGTAGTTAAAAGTAGATTCTGGAATCACTAATGGTAAAAGACTGACACATTACTAAATCTTATTAGATTAATATTGAAGGTTGAAAAATAGTCTTAAAATATGTTAACAAGAAACTCAAAATAATTTAACTGTATTTATATGTATCATTTATTCTGACTTATTTTCAAATTTTGTCTATTTTAGCACCAAGACTGAAACAAATTGTCCACAGATTCTCAGAACCGGGTATGCTATTATTTGCTATGGAATGATAATCATTCCATTTTAAGTTATAGATACTGTTAATTTGAAATGCCTAAGAATTAAGAACTGTCTATTTTAAAACAGAAGAGCATATGCCACTAACTTTGCCATTTTAGCTGGATGCCTAGCCTTCAGTTATACTTACATCTTGGGCAGAGCTATAAATATACTGCAAATGTGGGGAATTCCTCTGTCTTGCCTGGTTTAAAGTGCTTCATTTACAACAGATCAAATATTTCAAAAATATTAGTCCCTGTATTAGTGACTGTGCATAAAGATGCTTTGGGAGAAACACAAACTTAGAATATAGGAGAAATGGATTATAGCTAAAATTCTATGGAAATAAGTGTTTGACTTAGCTCCAGAAGGCTTTGCTTACTCATTTGAAAACTGTTTATGCCAGTTTTGTTCCAAGCGTAATGATTATGTAATCTGTTTGACACCTTTTGATACATTAAAACATTATTTTCTCTCCTAATATCCAAACTACAAAAGAGTTTTTGACTTCTTCTCCTGTGCAGGTAGAATGATCACACAGGTCTTACCTATAATCACAACTGTAAATAACACTGGATTTGGAGTCAGAATTCTGAGGTGTTGGTTTGGTCATAAACTAACTAAGTGACCCTAGGTAAAATATTTTGTCTCTCAAAGTTCCAAATGCCCGCAGGGTGACTGTGAAGACTCCAAATTTGGAAATTTATAAAATATGCAGACAGGTTTGCCATACTAATATATTTTCTGTAAACAGGCAAGGTGATATTATCACTTCACCTGTTTGATTTTTCAAGTAATATGTGTCAGTTCACGTCACACATCTGTAATTTCCTGCTCTCTTTTTCCTTTCACAGTGACAATACTCATTATTTTAGGGGTAATAGCTGTTATTGTTGGAGTTATCCTCTCTATTGCCTCCTGTATCCAGCTGCTGACAAGGGTGAGAATTCAGTTTTTAGTTTTGTTTTAAGGTCTGATTTTAGCAATGTTGGGTGAGCTTAATTTTTTGAGAAAAGTACCAATAAAGAAGATGAAAACTTTAAAATTCCATGTTTTTCAATTGGACACATAGTTGGATTGAGTCGCTTTTGTAGAATTTTTTCTTTTTGCCTTTGAATACTTATGATCACCTCCGATATGAATCTTTCATCTTCCCAATTAAAGATTTCCCCCAAAGTTTTTGTCCAATATGATATAGTATATTTTAATGAATATAGATGAAACAAATTTCTGCTTATAAGTATTTATGTACAAAATATTTAAAATAAAAGTATGTATTTTTAGATATCTTTACTATATTTTAGATAGCTTTAACTCTGGCTTTTTCCCATTATCACATTTTCTAAAACAAAATTTTCAGTCTGTCCATAAATTTTTAGCATGAGAGTTTTTCTAAACTCAGTAAAGCTATTTTTAAGTACATGTGACACAGATTTCCAAAGCATATAACTTCCTAAGATGTTTTAAGACATCAGGTGGCCTTATGATGCTGTCAGTGGATCTATATCCCACATCTGAAGTATCTAGTCACAAAAGAGTGGTGCAGTAAGGTTTTCATTCATTATCTGTTCTTAATCTCTGTGATTTCTGGACCATAACTAAGTCTATTGTATAAGCTTATATAGGGGGTAGCCGCACTGCAGCGGTGAGGCCACAAGAGTGATACCAAATCTGTTGAGTAACTTTGTCTACTTTCTTTTTAAACAACATCTATAAAGTGACCTCTATAAGTCTTCAGTCTTATGATTGTCATTATTTGATTTAAACACATCATCCAGGATACTCTAAGAAAATGACAAATTTTGTTACATATTAATAAATACCATAGTTTATTAACTTCAGGGTGCTGTTGTATGAAAGATTGGGTAAAGGCTTGAATATGAGTTTGGTATGCTTGCCTGAAGTGTATATATATTGGAGAAAAATCATCTTATGTTTAAGAAAACCTGTCATGTAAAGGTACAAGATCCCAATGATGAATGTAACTGCACTGTATACCTAAAATGTACCAATAAACTCAAAGAGAGAGAGAGACAGAGAGACAGAGAGAGTAAACAAGAATGTATAACAAACTGAATTGTCTTCTCTCTTGATCAGTTTTTCTAAACCTGAAAAAATATCAGTGAAATACTTAGGAGAAAAATTCAGAGCATTTCATTTGTACATTTTCATGAGTTTTCAGTTAGTTACAGCACTGAAATATGGAAGAGTTCATGTATGGGGTAATATTGCACCTATTGAATACTAAATACTATTTAGAAATACAAATAGAAGTTTAAATTAATATCTATTCATATCTATAAAAGAGAGATTTACTCCCAAACAACACTCCAAAGTGATTTTCAATTAAAAAGATTTTGAAAAATATTTCTAACAGCAGTACTTTAATTTTTATTGCCTTCAGTTTAAAAATTCTGGTGCTAATATTTTTTCCTGGTTTTTTTGCATAGAAATCGCCAGCTGACCAGCCACCTCCCTTGGAGGACACAGCTGAACATTTAATTTCTGTTGAAGTAGAACATACAGGTTGGTGTTAATATGTGCACTGCCTCTTGCCTTTTGGGAAGGGAAATGAATTGATAAGGTCCTTCTTTCTGGGTTGAGCAAGGGAGAACAAATAGCACTCATTTGTATTCTAATTCATCAATACTACTGCTATAAGAATTTTAAAAGAGAATGTATTGTCAACCTTAAAAACGTAGATGTTGATATTTATATTCCAATATTAATTCTAAATGTAAACTTTGATGATGAGATCCTCCATATCAGGATGAGAGCAAGGCATAAAATCTGAACAGGGGCTGCTGTCTCTGCTGTTTGTCTCAATACCTAGCTAATCAAATTTATTGCATCCATAATGGCCCCTGGGAGAAACTCACTGAGAATACATAATTCCTAGTGAACTTGGCTTGAGGCATAAACTCAAGTAACAGCTATTTTGGGAAATGTGCACCAAGCGCAAGTTTCCAGAATCAGTCTGAATGCTCAAGTAAAGGGCTCTGGTTCTGCTTTCTATAAAAACAATTGAATTTTTCCCCATATTTGTTAATTATCATGACAGATCTTGGGTTCCAGAAGTATCCAGATTCCAGTTGTAATGCTGGTCAGACACCTAACATCAAAGAACTTGCTAAGTTTTCTAGAGCGTGGCATCATAAAAACAAAGTTTAAAAGGTGCACCTCAATTCTCCAGGTCATATGCAGGATCCAAGTCATCAGATTATCTTGTCAGTTCTTAAAGTTTCACAATGATTCTGACCTCATCCTATAATACTGGGAAGTTCCTGCTACAACTCAATGGCATAGCCATAACTCTTAGCAAAAGTCATTACAGACCTGCCCTCTTCAGATGCCTAAAATAACAAAAGCTTTTCAGTCATCTACCAGATTCACCTGACTTACTGAGGTTACCTTGTAATCAGACTTGGAACTATTACACAAATATCTGTAAAGTGTTCATTTTATCTATAATCTGCATTATTTTACAATAAAATGTGGTGATGTGGTTTTTAAAATGGAGCAATTGTCCCTCAAATCCTAATTTTTATTACCTAAATTTCTATACATTTTGAGCTATTTGTGGTGACAAAGTAATTGTATAGCATTTCCTTTGTGACTTGGTTTTCGTTTAGCCTTCAACCTTTCTATGGAATAGACCACAAAAGTATGCAACAGTTAGTAGAGCACAGTGGATTAAGTATACTTGGAAATTTAATTCAGGGAAGTGCAACAAATGTGTATTAAAAGCTTTCTGTGAGCACCACACTCATAGAATCAGCACCAATCTCAGCCTTTGTCCTTTAAAGGCTGAGGGTCTAGCAGAGGCTGTTGGAGTGGTCATTGTGGTGAACAATTCTAAGGTAATGGAGGTGACAGGTACAAGTTGCAAAGGATTTGGAGATGGAGTCACGTGATGAGTCATAAAGAACAGACAACAGTTACCCAGGGCAGACAGTGTTAGCAGAAGGGCAGCACAACAAAGCCTCTGAGGGAGGCAGAATGTGGTCACCCAGGAATCCTGTGCCTTTTTGCATTCACAGCACTAATGTTGATGTCTCAGATATAGAATATGCAAAGGCAGTGGAAAGTCAGGTGAAGCAAGCTTTAGGTTCATTCAATGTCCCCATATTTATGTAAATAAAATTATATTAAGACTATCTTAGTAAGTTACAGAAAGGAGTTATGAAGCCTCTCTTCGTCACATAGGAAATGTCAGAAAGCACACATTTATTAAAGGTGCTTTAGTCCATTAAGTAATATTGCCCTAAAGTAATCATATGAGGCTAGGGTTACTGTGTCATCCCAATGGGAATAGGAGATGCTAGGAGAAGATTCGGGGATGGATTGTTTTAAGCTCTTTGAATTTAAACATGGTTGTTTGTGCTCAGTGGGAACTGAGAATATGTACATCTGAGTCAATGTGGCAGCTACATGTGACCATGCTGCTCCATTTCTCACAGGGATTTTGGGGCTGCATGGTTGCCATGGTACACAAATAGCAAATGGTTGGAAAGTGCCTTACTTCCCTAAGAGCAACAGCTCTTCCCGTTGCTGTCTTGCACTTGCTGGGATATAAGCAGCAATCCAACCTACACATAACATCAACCCAACTTTCCAAACAAGAAAGTGAAGATACGGCTTGCAATGCAGGAGACCAGCTCACAGTGTCTTCTTTTCTATGCTAGTCAGAGAATTCAGCTATAAAGTTCTGTGCAGACTTGTCTTCAAAAAAACGTTTTTCTAAAAAATATTTTACAAACTTGATATTTCTTCAAATCCACATATGCCTATGTGATTCAACTCACTTATTTACCCCCAAAATGTGCTGTCAGTTTTTCATCTCAGAGTAGGAACAGAATAATTTGTTTTCTAAGACTTCTAGGATAAATTTTCTAAAAATTTTCTTTTTTTATTTAAAAAAAATTTCCAATAGGGCTGATATGTAAGTTCCATTGATTAGTATCTCTCATTGATCAGTAGTTACATTCAAAGAAAACCTAAAGACTAAAAAATTTATTTTGAAATAATTTTGAAATTTATTTTGTGCAATAATTTTCTGTTGTGTCTAACATGTCTTGCACTACTTTTCTAATGTTTCCCCTACAATGCTTTATAGAAGAGTAATCAATGAAAATGTGTTCGCCAAGCAAAACTGTGGAAGAACTCAACAAAGACACAAGACGGCAGTCAATCAAAAAATGAACTTGTGAATCAGGCACTTCAGTAAATTTTGTATCAGCCTAAGTTGTATCATTTCAGGAAACAAATTTCATTACAGTGAATTCCAGTGACCTAACCATGGAAAAATATCTCTGTTCATTAATACTTCAAGATAAATAACACATATTTCCTCATGCTTGCTTTTTTGTTACCTTAATTTTTAATTAGTTGATTAGAAATTTTGACCCACAGTTTTAGTTGAATTGATCTGCCTTACTCTATTCTACTGTGTTTTAGTAATGGTGCTGAAAAATATAGGGCTCATAACATCTCCATGGAACCAAAGTTCTCTCCCCATTCTAAATTTTTGAGTTCTCCTTCATTGTTTTATATAAGTTAAAGGAACATCTATTAAAAGGATTTATTTTCCTTGTTGCTCAATAAGCACAATATTGGATTATACTAGAGATGTCGACATTTTGTTCCCACTGATAAGACTTGAAAAATGCCATAAATACAAATTATATATAATTGTGCCTACATTCATTATTTAGTGCATAAATCAAGACAAAAGTTTTCTGTCATTAAAGGGTGTGATGTTGACTATATACAATTGGCCCATGTAAAATAATTTTTCTGGCAATAAAGCACTGACGCATGCATTGTGTTCCACTGAAAGAGTTATTTATATATACATGGTCAGAAGATTCTGAGTAAGAAAAAGATTAATGATTTGCAAAAGAAGCTTAACAACTCTAAACTTTACATGCCGGTGAATATTTTAATAGGTCACTCTATATTTTAAATTAAATTCTCTAGTACATCCAGACTCACTCCACTTTCTCTTATTGATAAAACTTTAGAAACTGTTTAAATTATACAAATGGAGTTTCCAGATGTTATAGACTAACTTCACAACTTTACAGCTGTCACTCATTTGTAAAAACATTTAATAGAAATATATGTAACATATGCAAGAAAGAAATTCCTGTGACATTGTATTTCCCAATTAATAAACATACATATAAGGGTGGGGATTTTGCTCAGTGGTCCCGCCGCCTGCCTTGCAAGCACAAGGTCCTGAGTTCAATCCCCAGTACCAAAATAAATAAATAAATAAATAATTTTTTAAAAAATCCATATGGCTTTCTATTGTATGTTCATATTAGGATCTAGAAACAAATTTAGTTCTAAAAAATTTAAAAAATCTAAATCTTATCGTATGTTCAGGGAACACTTTTGTATTAAATTTCCTACTTAAAATAAAGGATCAAGATGAGAAGAGAACATTTTCACTAGAATATGTTTTCTAGAAGGTGCTTGAAAATAAATTATTAGGTTAATTTAGTCCAGTGAAGGATCCAAGTGCCAACATAATAATTGTACTTTTTAAAACTAAAGATAAAATGTTGAGCCAGGGACAAAAGACTTATCTTTTTACAGTAATTTACAAGTCAAAATCAGCAAGAGACTAGAGTATTACAATGGGTCAAAGTTACACAATTTCCACGGTAAATAAATGAAAAATTGTTTTAACATGTTTGAATTTTTCTTGATACTTTCTCTGTACTTCTCTGCGTAGATTTTTTTACATTTAAAGTTGGTATTTGTGGGAAGAAATGACTTTTATTCTCTTTGTTATTTTTTAAATAATGAAATAAAAAATTGAATAAAGAAATCTGTCCTGTGAAGATAAAATGGCCCCATAGGTGACTCAGATTAAATTTCTTAAAATTAGATACTGGGGGTAGGAGGAGGTGGCGATTTGGTTAGAAAATTTGGTTCTTCAGCTCTGGGTATTTCGTTTGTACCCATGCCAGTAGAGGTCTAGATGAAGGAGAGATAGGAATAAGTGAGGGCCACTATGGAGAAAGGATCTGAAGAGCGAAGGGGATTCGCTCCATAGTCAGCCGGCCTGAAGACAGGAGCATTCTGGCAGGAGGATGTGGAAGAGCAACGCTGCTTAGCACACGGTAGCTGGGGAGCAGGTGGAGGAGTCAGAGGGGAAAGCACAGTCCCACTACCACGCCTCCATAACCACCCAGATACACCTGCAGCATGCTCTAGGAATCCTCTAGGTACTTTTTAATCCAAAAAATTTGGTGTGTCGGGCTTAATTAATGTCCATGCTACTTTACAAAACTGGCTTGAACTTTATAAAAAGGAATGAGGTGTAAACGGCAGCTAGTACCACCTATGTGGTAAATGAAGGGCACTTTTGGCTACTCTCACTTGATACAAACTCTTACCAACGAGCCACTTAGAATCCTATGGAAAATTCACTTTAAATATGCTCCAGAAATAGTTCATCATCAAGTTCAGTTCTCAGGCTTCTTTTTGTCTCTTCATTTTTGTTCTGCAAAATTAAACAACCAATACTCTTTAGTCACCTTAGTATCACAATATAATCTTTTACTATGTAGATGTAGAAAAAGCAATCAACTGCCTCAGAGTAAGTTGTAAGAGTAGTTTGTTTTGCAGACAATCTTCGTAAAAGGGGAAAAAAATCTCCTGATTTTCATTATGTAGTGTAGTTATATTAAATGTCAGCCTTCCCGTCACTGGGACAAAATACTTGATACCCACAACTTACAGGAGGAAAGGTTTGGCTGGCTCGCAATTTCGGATAGTTCAGTAAATGATCGGTTGGCTCTAAAACACAAATAGTGTGGCAGAAGACCATGTCAGAGAAAAGCTGCTCCACTCATGGCTGCCAGGAAGCAGAGAAAGCATACTGAGAGATATTCTCCAAAGGCACCTCTCCTAGGACCCATCTCCTCCATGGGGTCCGGGCTCCTATCCGAACACTGAGCTTGATCTGTTGATGAAGTTAGCACCTTCATGATCCAACCACCTTCCAGAGGCCCCATTTCTGAGTGCATGCGACTTTTGGGGGATAGGAAGTGACAGAGTGGGAGGACCTGAGGCCCCAAGGTCCCTTTCAAGTTTGTGTCCCTACTGGCCTAGCTTCTTTCCAAGGGCCCCATTTTCTGAAGCTTCCACCACCTTTTAACTACACCACAGGCTGGTGACCAAGTCTTTAGCATATGGACCTTTGGGGAACCTTTAAGACTCAAACCATTAGAAGGGCCCATCAGGAAGAGTGCATTGGTGGATATCACAGGCTTTTGATCATAGCACTCAGAGGGCCTTGTTATTGTTTTAAATATTGTTAAAAGTTACACAGAAATTCTACATCCAAAATGTGTATTCAACTGGCTTTATAAACTCAGTACACAGGTTTAAAAGCATAATCAAGTCAGGTGAATTGGGAATTGCAACAGTGAAGGGCAGGTCTAAAGAGAACGTTCAGACTGAAGTGTGGAGAAACAGTAATATGCAAACATGGAAATGTGCACGTGGTGAATGCAGTACACAGAGAAAAAGTCCACTGGTGATAATAAGAATCGCAGGAGGGCTGGAGAAATGTAACGTGTGAAGGGTTTACAAAACTCTCAAGCCACCCTTTCATGAGGTACTAAATCCACGAGAAGAAAAGTACAGTTATACACAGTGGAAAAAGAAAAAGAAAACTTGCATTGCAGTCAGTCAAAAAGGAAAACAAAATGCACTGCCTTTCTCCTGTCCGTGTGAGCTACATGTCAGAAGAGTACGTGCAAGTTTTGCCATTCTTTCTAATATGTATTTAAACCAGAATAATGTCTGGTTTATTTACATGTTGATGGAATAGAGTCTGATATTCTCTACAACTCTTTCCCTCAAACTAAAGCTCCTGGAATTTTTCCTGCATAGAAATAAACTGTAGGTCAACCCAAAAGAAGGAAACAAGCAAATGCTTTGTGAAAGAAAGAGGAATATTACACCAAATGGTCCCTGAGATATGATTATATATACTGTCCGATTTTCTGTGGGGACAAACAAGCAGCTTTTAAGAACTAACTCCAATTTAGCTCTTAAAATGTAAACTTGCTCTATTGAAATTTATATAAAGCTTGTGGATTTTAAGATTAAGCCATAATCAACAGGAAAGAAAAAAGACAAAGAGATAAGTATAGTTGCTTTTTTGCAGTTTAACCTGCAAGGTAATATATTACTTGTGTGTGACAGAAAATAATCCATTTATAAGGAAAGGGTTTTTACCCCGATTTATTATTTCTTTACCATTACATTTATTGTTTCCTAATAGGTATTTACTCGTAAAAATAATTCGTGATCATTTCTTCTTAAATCTACCTTTAAAAGGTCGAAAATGTAGCCACAGAATAGAGAATCTTAAACCCGACAACTGGCTGGGTGGTCTGTCGGGGGTGACAGTGGTATAAATTATGTGTGCAGTGGTATATCACCACCAGCTAAGGGAAAGATGACGAGAGAGCACACAGTCTGAGTATGAAATACAGATGTTTGCGGTTCCTAATTCAAACACTGAAAATTAATGTGAACTGAGATGGCCAGATGGAAAGCCAGCTGGGCAGGCTGCACAGGCAGGACCCTCTCTAGGGTCAGCAGGGGAAGAACAACTGAGGGAAAAGGAGACTGAGCTTCAGTCTTTGGGGTCCCTGAATCCTGTTGTGCCTGGGAGACCACCCTTTCTCAAATGCAAGAGTTGATAAATCACATTTGACTTACACCAGTTTTGATTAGGTTTTCCATCATTCAAAAAGAGTGTTCGCTGCGATACCAATATAATAAAATAGATGACTGGGCCGATATCTGGACGCAGTGAAAACCACCTTCCAATGGATGGGCAAATGGGCTGTTTCCAAGATTTAGCTATTACAAACTGTGCTGCTATAAACATGGGTGTGCATACTTCTCTGTGATATGATTCTTTTAGTTCTCTTGGAACGATACCCAGCAGAGGGATGGCTGGGTCAAATGGAACCTCCAGTCCCAGCTCTTTGAGGTATCTCCATATTGATTTCCACAGTGGTTGCACCAATCTGTACTCCCACCAACAATGGAGAAGGGTTCCTTTCTCCCCACAACCCCCCAGCATATTGTGTCATTTCTTGATCGCAGCCATTCTTTGTGGGGTGAGGTGGAATCTCAGTGTTGTTTTCATCTGCATCTCTCGAATGACCAGTGATGTGAAACATTTTTTCAAATATTTTCTTGCTGCTTTTACTTCTTTGTCTGAGAAATGTCTGTCCGTTTGAAACTGGATAAAGAAGATGTGGTTTTTCTATAAAATGGAATATTACTCAGCCATAAAGAACAAGAAAATAGATTCATTCATAGGAAAATGGATACATATTGAAGATATACTCCTAAGTGAAATAAATAAGTCACACATGTGTAAATACCGAATAGTTTCCCTGGTGTGAATAATCTGCAACAATGCATAAGATTCTAATAAGATTACTGACATTTAGAAATGGGAAGAAAGGAGCTAAAGGTGTAGGGAAGGTGGGATGGGTAGGGGAAGAGTAAAAAGGGAAAAGAAAAAAATGTGAGAGAATGAAAAGATGAAAATAAAGTGTTTGTAGATGGGGAAGGGAGGAGGGGGTGAAGGGAGGGCAGAGGTAAGGGGAAAAAATGAGAATCAAGACCTGTCATGTAGAGGTACAAGATCCCAACAATGAATGTAACTGTACTATATCCCTAAAATGTACCAATAAACTCAATTAAAGCTGAAAAAAAAAATAAGCAATGAAAGGACAAAAAACAAAAACAAAAACAAAAAACACC